AAATAAGAATGGGGTAAAAGTATTATATTGATTTTTTTTATTGATATTATGGTTAGAAGTTGTTGGTTGTGTTAGAAATGGATTTTGGTATGTGATGGATATTGTATTGTGGTTATATGGGGGATTGTTGTTATGGGTGGGGATGTGGGGGAGGGGGGTGGAAAATAGATTAATTTTAATTGGTTTAGATATAGAGAATTGTGATTGTTTTAGGTTTGTAAGAGGGGGGGGGGGGTTAATATTAATATATGAGGGTTAATGTTTTGGATGTAATAGGGTTGGGATGAAGAAGGTTTGATTTTATGGATGTTATAATTGTTTATGGTTTATGTTTAAATATAGATTATGGAGGAGATGTGGAATAGAGTAATGGGTTAGGAGGAATGAAATAGGGTATGGTATCTAAAATAGATATTTAGATATGAGTGATGAGAGTTGGAGGTTATTTTTTAAATGAAAAGATATATGGGAATTTTTTGTATGGTGATATGAGTTTGGTTTGGGGGTTAAAGGGTTGTGGGATGAAATGGTAAGTGGATATATTATATAAAAAGGTTATGGGGGTGTGTTATATTGTTGGTGGAGGGATGAAGGGATTATTAAGGGAGGGTGTAATGGATGGGGAGATGGAAGGGGAGAAAGATTATGTTTATGAAGTATTGGTTTTGTTAGTTGGTTGGTTGGTTTTTAGTATTATAGGAGTGGTATATATGAAGTATTAGTTTATTTTTTTATAGGAGGATAAGGGAGTTGGGTTTTTGGTTTATAGAAGAATGATGATGGAAGGTTTTTATAATTGATAGATTTTAGTAGATAGAAAGAGATAGGGAGAGTAGTTGAATAGTGAATTTATTTATGTGAAAAAGTAAGAAGATATAAGATGGAAGGGGGTATGGGTGAAATAATTTGTGGTTGATTTATTTATTTTGATGGGGTTGAAGTAGTATTATTTGGTGATAGGTTTGGGATTTAGAATAGGGGAAATGGGAAGAGGGATATTTTTATATTTATTGTTATTTATGGGATATTTATTGGGTGTTATATGGGAGGTGTTTAATTATGGGGGGGAGATTTGATAAGAGGGAAAGAAATTGGGTAGGATTATGATTGGTGTTTTTATGTTTTGTTTTATTTGTGTTATTGAAGGAGGTTTAGTTTGGTGTGGGTTGGGTAAGGGGTAAGGTTTGGTTGTTTGGTTTTAAATTTTTTTTATTTTGTAGAAGATTGGAATGATTTTGATATGTGTGATGGTTGGAATTGTTTAATTGGAGAAAGATTAAGAAGTATATTTTGAATTAAGATTTTGATTAAATATTTTTTATGATTGGATTGAGATTGGAATTGAGTGTAAGATTGGTTAAGATGAGGTGATTAGGAATAATTTAAATAAAGGAGGGGAAGTTTTTTATTATAATAAAATTAATATATATTAAGTTAGAAGGTATGAAATATTGGGTAAATATGAGGTTTGAGAGTTAGAATGAAGAATTGGGGGTTTTTAAAATTTAAATTTATTTGAAAAAATAATTTTGAATTATGTTTTAAAGGAAGTTAGGAATGTATGAGTATTATTGAAGAATAGGGAATAGATTGAGTGTTTAAACGGTTGAAAGTAAGATATAAAGAATTAAATTTAAGTAGGTTTTTTTTGATTGGGAGGTGTAATGGTTGATGGAATGGAGGTTGGGAGGATTTAGAATTTTTTTTATTTTTATTTGTATAAGGGGATTTAATGAAAATGGAAAATAATTTAAGTAAAAGGGAGATGGATATGGTTTAGGAGTATGTGATTATGAGGGGATTATTATTGTATGAGATTAGTAATTTGGAGAATAAGGTTTATGTGTAATTTTGATAGGGGGTGAGGGGGTTGGATATGGTGGATATAGGTATGAGAGTGAAATATGTTTTTTTTAAGTTATTTGGAGAGGTTATATGTATTTTAGTATTTAATTTATGTAGGTGGTTGGGTAGGGGATTTGAGTTAGGAGTTTAGGGATGGAGTTTGTAGTGATAAAGGGTATTGTGGAAGGTGGAGGTGTGGTGTGTTGGGTGGGGGTATATATTTAATTTGTTGTAAGTAGGGGGGGGTGGGTTATGGGGTGGGAAGTGGGTGAGAATGGGATGTGATGGGTGGGTGGTGATTTTTTTTGAAATTAATTATTTAGGGTTTGGAATGTTAGGGTTTAGGTGGGGTGGTATTAGTAATTTATTAGATTATGAAAGGTGGATGATTTTGATGGTTATGTTTTATGGAGTGGATTGATTGGTATGAATATTTGATAATATTTGGTAGATTAGTTGGGTTGGAAATTAGATTGATTATGGATTTATATTTTATTTGGGGAATGTTGTTGTATTGGATATTGGGTGTTTGGAATGTTTGGGGTTGGTTGAAGTGATATAAGTAGAAAGATGGGTTAAATTTATTTGGAATTATTAAGAAGATGAATTTTAATGTTTTAAGGTGAGAGGGGGGAAATGGGTGGGAGTAATTAGGGTAGGGATGTAGGTGGTATTTGTTAAGATGATGTGTGTATTAGATAATTTTAGTTATTTTGATATGATGGGTGAAATGGGATGGTTTTAATATGTTGTTTTATTGTATATTTTAATTGGATAGTTTAATTATTATTTTGTATAATTTGGGGGTGAGGGGATTATGTTATAGTTTTGTGGAATATAGATAATATTGTAGGAGGGATTATTTAAGTTATGGAGGATAAAAGTTTTATGTTGGTTGTGGGGTTTGTTTAGTTTGGTAGGAGGGTATATGTGATGAAGGGGGGAGTGTTAATTATTTTAGTTTTGATAAAAGGGAAGAGTTGGTTTATGTTGTGTGTTTGTTGAAAGAGGATATTGAAATATAGTTTGATGGGGGGGGTTTGGAGGGGTTAAATGGAGGAGGAAAATTTAAGAAGTGGTGTGTAGGGGGATAGTTAGGATTATGTTTTTTTTTTTTTAAATTAAGAAGAGAATATAGATATGTGGTTGTGGGGGAGGTGTTGTGAGAATGTTGATTATTGTTGATGGGTAGGGAATTTGGGTATGTATGTTATGTTATTATTTGATGAGTGTATTTTTATTTGGGGAGTGTTTTTTTATTTGATTGGTTTATGATGAGTATGGAGTGAGGGGGAGGTGTGGGGGGGGGGGGAGTTGGTTTTTGTATGGGTGGTTTTGTGATTTGTGGTTTTTTTGTAGATTATTGATTGTTGTTTATTATTTTTTATTATAGTTATATGATTTGAGTTGTTGTGTGGGTGGGGGAAGTGTTATTTGTTTTTTAGGTATTTTAGATTTGGGTAGGGGGTATTGGGATTTTTATTTATTAATGGGGGGTGAGTAGATTTTTAGAGGGTATAGGTTAGTGTTGATATTTGGGTAGTTATGTAATGGTTTGGGTGGGTGTTATTTAAGTTTTTGAAATTTAAATAGATGGGTGTGGAAGGTTAAATGTAATGGTATAGGATTATTAGGTTGGAGATTGTGGATTGGAATTAATTGTTTTGATTATGGGTTATATTTTGATATATTTTTGTTTGTTTTAAGTGATGTTTATTAATTAATGTGGGGTTGGGTTGGTAGTAGTTGGTTTGTTTAGTAAAAATAATATGTAAGAAAGAGTAAGAGAGGATGAGAGATGGGAAAATTAGAATATGAAATGGAAATTTGAATGTTGTAGGGGAGGGATTAGGGATTAGAAGAGAAATTGAAATAGATAAAAGAATATGGATGGAAGGGGGGTAGAGAGAGAAATATTTAAAAAGAAAAGTTTAAAAGATAGGTAAAGAGAATTTTGTTGATATATGTTAAAGAATATAATATAATAAAAATTGAAAATGAAATTGGTTTAGTAAATGATTTGTTATAAATAAGTTTGAGGGGTAATGTTGGTGAGGTTGAAAGAAAAAGGTTAAGGAGTATATTAATATATGAGGTAGTGAATATATGTGAAAAGGAAGAGATGGGGTATGGGGTATAATGTATTTTAGTTAGGTTTTTTGGAGGATGTTTTGTAGAGGGTTTAGAGGTAGGGAATTTAATATTTATTGTGAAGGTGTTAGTGATAGGGGTTTTAAAATTTTTGGGTGTTTAAGGGGTTTGATATTTGTTGGTTTTGAGTTAAGAAGTAATTGGGGGATAGAATTATTATTGGATTTGTGTAGATATAAAGGGATTATTGTGAATTTTTGTTTTTTTGAATAAGGGGGTGTATGGGGTAGTATTTATTTTTATTTAATTTGTGGGTGGATATTGGGTGGATAAATAGTTGTTGGGATTGTATTTATATGAGAGATTATTATATATGTTGTTTTTTTTTGGAATGGTTTTATGGGTGTGTTTTAGGGTTGTTATTTGGGGGGGGGAGGTTTAGGTTTGGTAGTATTTATAGGAGCAAGGTGGTGAGGGTTGTTGGTTTTATTAAAGTGATAGTGGTAGGGAGTTAGGTTTTTGGAGGTGGTTGTTTGATGGTATGGTAGATGGGTTATATGGTATTTAGGGGTTGGGTTTATTTATGGTTGTTTATTTATAAGGGGGGGGTTTGTTATGAGGTTTATATATGAGAGGGTTATTGATTGGAGGATATGAGTGGAAATGAATGTGAGAGGTTTAGAATTATATTTATTATAAAGAGAATGGGAATAAATAGAAGGGTGTAAATTAAATGATTAATATGTTAATAGGAAGTATAAGTTGAGTGGAAGAGAGGGTTTGAGGTATGAGGTAAAAAAAATAGGTGAGAGGGGGTATAAAGAGTATGGTTGAGAGAGGTAATTAAAATAAATTGATATAAGAATTGAGGTAATATAAGAGAAGCAATGATTAATGAGATATATATAAATAGTTGATTATTGTATTGGTGAGTTTTTGAATTTAAGGGTTTTTTTTTGTTGGATAAGTATAGATTGTGGGATTTTTTATATTTTAGTTAAATATAAAATTGGTGTTTAGTGGGGATGATGTTTTAATAGTATTTGTGGTTTATTATGGTGTTTATGGAGAAGAAAGGTGTTAGTGAAGTGTGGGGGGGTGGGGATGGGAAGGGATTTAGAGGTGGAGAGGTGAGGATTTGGGTATTAGTTTGAAGATATTGAATAGAAGATTTATTGGGGTGGTAAATTAAAGTTAAATTATGAGGGTGGGGAGGAGGGAATTTTGTTAATATTTAGATATATGTGGTTGAGAAGGTAGGGGTGGGTTGGTTTTGGGGGGAATGTAGTTTTTATTAGATTGAGGGATGGTGGGGAAAAAATATTTTGGGGTTTTTAGGATATTGGGAAATGGTAATAATGGGTGGTATTGGTGAGGTATATATTTGTTTGTTTTGTGAGTGTGGATGTGGGGTGGTGGGGGGGTAGAATTGAGTGGATAAGGGTGTAGGGTATTGTGTGATAGTGGGTTTGTTTGTGGGGGATAATGTTTTTTTGTATTTTTTAATTAGTTGAAGAATATTTTTTTTTTTGTTTAGTTGGGTGGTGTGTGGATGGGGGGTTAATTAGTTTGAGGGGTGGATTTTGGAAAAAAGTTGGGGTGGAGTGAAGTAGTTTTGATTGTTATTAGTTTAAAGAAAATAGGAAAATAAAATATGTATTTTAGAATAAAATATATTTTGTTAGGATTGTTGGTGATGATTGTTAAAATGATGGTAAATAAATTTTTATTGATGAATGTGTATATATAAAATATATAGTAGGATTTTATTGGGAAATAATATTATATAGAGGGTAAGAAGAGTAGGTTGTAAGTTTAGGTGGGTGAGATGTAGTAAATGTGGGTATGGTATTTATTATTGATTATGGGAGTGATTTGTTTGGTATGTTTTTTTGTATGATTGGGGATAGATAATTAAAGGTTTTGTTATTGGAAGGAATTTTAATGGAATAGAGAAGATATTTTGTGGGAGTTGTATGAGAAGGGGAAATATAAGGGGATGATTATTAGATAGTTTTATTGAGTAAGGGGGGGGGTGGGTTTTATTGTGAGGAGGTAGGGGGTTGGAATGGATAGATTTGAGTTGTTTGTTGTGGGAATAGGGGAAAGTTTTGAATGGATTGGGGTTGTTTTTATAATGATATGGGTTATTGTTGTTTTTTATTTTGTTATATGGAAATGAGGAAGTATTATTGAGGTAAGGGGAGTGATTTTAATGTGTGAATAAGATTATGGATTAGTATGGGTGTATGGGTGATATTGATATGGTATGAGTAAAAGTGATTTGAAAGAGGGGGTTATGTTTGAGGGATTGATATTGGTGTTGATAGAAGTTTAGTAGGTGGGTGGTTTGTTGGTTGTTGAGGGTTAGGGAAATAATGTTGAGTGTGGTGTTTATTGGGTGGGGGGGTGTTTGGGTTTGTATAATGTTTTTTGGGTTATGGGTATTAGAATTTGGGGAGGAAGGGGTATTGAGGGGGTTTGTTTAGATTTTAGTAATTAAGTTGGTTTTTTGTTTTTTAAAGATATTATTATTTTTTATGAAGATAGTGGGGGAGAGGTGGTTTATTGTTTTTTTAAGTGTTTAGATTATTTTTTTTGTAAGTTTAAGAAATGAAGTGGGTTAATTTTGTGCACACACACACGTTTGTGGGTTTTTGGTTTGGTATGGTATGTGGTGGAGAGAGAGATGAAAAGAGAAGGGGAGGAGATTAATTATAGGAAGGGTAGGGGGGAGAGAGAGTATTTAATGTTTTAGAGGGGTTATGAAAATTAGGTTGATTTTTAGTAGAAATATTTTTGAGTGGGGGAGATGTGAGAATATGATAAATTGGAGGAGATGAATGAGTGGATGGGTTTTTTGGGGGGATGGTGGTTATGGGATTTAGGGATAAAGGTATTTAGTGGGAAGGTAATGTATGGAGGAGATAAAGAGTGAGAAGGGGGAGGGGAAGTAGGATTATTTTTAGTTATTTGTTTGTGGTTAGGAAAATTTAGGGATTGGGGTGGAGTGAGGGGGATTAATAGTTAGGGAAGTTAAGGAAAATTTTATAGGTTAATAGGTTAAAGTTTAGTTATTGATAAAGAGGAAGGGATAATGTATGGTTGTGGATTTAGTGTGTAGGGATGGGGGGTTGATGATGGGGGGTTTGAAGAGGAGTTTGTTGATTGGAGGGGGTAGGTGATATAAGGAGATTGTTTTGGTGTGGTAGTGGTTGGTAAGGAGGGTTGATGGATATTGTTGGGGGGTTATGGTGATTTTATAGAGATAGAAGGGGAGAGGTGTATGTTGTATGGGTTGTTGTTGTTATGGGGTATAGTGAGAAGTATAAGGGGGAAAAGTTTGAGTGGGATTTTGTTGAGGGTGGTTGTGGGTGTTGATAGGGGGTTGATATGTTATGGGGGGGAGAAGTAAGGAGAAAATGAGGTGAGATATGGAAAATAATGTATGTTTATTAAATTTGAGTTATTATTAGATATAGTGGATGAGGATATTGTTTTTAATAATAAAAAATGAAAGAGTAAGTGAAGAGGAGAAAAAAGAAAAGTAATGGAAGGTTGGGGGAAAGTAGTTAAAAAGAAAGGTGATAAAAAAGAGTATAGTATGGAAAATTTGAGAAAAGTTTTTTTGAAGGTGTTTTATAGGGATAATTGGAAGTTTGGGTGGGTGTGTGATGGGAGGTAGGTTATTTAAAATTATTGATAATAGATTTTTTTGGAATTGTGTTTGGGGGTTGTATTATTTTTTTGTGGAGGTGAGTGATGGTTTGTGGGTGATTTTTGGGATAGTTGTTGGGTTGTTTGGTGGTTTTTTTTTTGTTTATTTGAGGTATGGGGTTGTTGTTATTTGTTTTTGTTGTTTTTTATTTGTGTTAGATTGGTTGGTGTGTGGGTGTTGTTTTTTTTTGGTTGTGTTTTGGGGTGGGGGTTTTGGTTTATTTTTGGGGGGTGGGGTGGGTGGTTGTGTTGGGGGTGGTTTGGTTTTGTGTGTGTTGTGTGGTTGGGTTTTTTTGGGGGGGGTTTTTTTTTTTTTTTTTTGGTTGTTTTGGGTTTGGTGTTGTGTTGTGGTTTGGTGGGGGGTGGGGGTGTGTTGGTGGTTGGGGGTGGTGGGGGTTGTGTGGGTGGTGTGGGTTGTTGGATGTGGGGGGTTGTAGGGTGTGGTTGGTGTTGGGTGTGTGGGTTTTTTGGTGGTGGGTTGTGTTTTGGGTGTGGGTGTGTGTGGGTGTGATGTGTGTGTTTGGGGTGGTTTTTTGTTTTGGTTTGTGTTTTGGTTGGTGTGTTTGGTGTGGTTTGTTGTTTGTTTTTTGTGTTTTTTGTTTTGTGTGTGTGTGTTTTGTTGTGTTTTGTTTTTTTTGTTTTTGTGGGGGTGTTGGTTGGGGGGGTTGTGGGGTGTGTGGGTGTGGTGTGTTGTGGTGGTGTGGGGGGTGGGTGGGTTTGGGTGGGTGGTTGGGGGGGGGGGGGGGGGGGGTGGGGTTTTGTGGTTGGGTTGGTGTGGGGGGTTGGGGGGGGGTGGGTGTGGGTGTTTGGGGGTGGGTGTTGGGTGGGTGGGGGGTGGGGGGGTGGGTTTGGTGTTTTTGTTTTTTTTTTGGTTTTTTTGGTTTTGGGGGGTTGGTTTTGGGGGGGGGGTTTTTGTGTGGTTGTGGGGGTGTGGGGGTTTGGGGGTTTGTGGGTGTTTGTTTTTTGTGGTTGGTGGGGGGTGGGTGTGGTGTGGGGAGGGATTGGTGGTTTTGGTTGGTGGGGTGGGGTTGTTTGTGTTGTTTGTGTTTGTGTGTGTGTGGGGGTTGGGGTGTTTTTGGGGGGTGTTGTGTGTGGGGGTTTTTGTGGGTGTGGGGGGGGTGTTTTGTGTGGGTTTGTGGGGGAGTTTTGTGGGGGTGTTGGGGGGTTGGGGGTTGGGTGTGTGGTTGGGGGGGGTGGTTGGGTGGTTGTGGGGGGTTGGGTTTGGGTGGGTGGGGGGGGTGGGGGTGTGGTGGGGTTGTGGGGGGGGTTGGGGTGGTTTGGGGGGGTGTTTGGGGGTGTGGGTGGGGGTGTGGGGGGTTGTGGGGGGTTGTGGGGGGGGGTTTGTGTGTGGTGGGGGGTGGGGTGGGGTGTTGGGGTGGGTTTTGTGGTGTGGGGGGTGTGTGTGTTTGTGTTTGGTGTTGTGGTTGTGTTTTGTTGGTTGGTGGGTTGGGTGTGGGGGGGTTTGGGGGTGTTTTGGGGGGGGTGTGGGTGTTGGTTTTTGGGTTTTGTTGGGTTTGTGTGGGGTTGTGGTTGTTATGTTTGTTTTTTTTTGGGTTTTTTGTGTGTGGGTGGGGGGTGGGGGTTGGGGGTTGTGGGTGTTTTTGTGGGGTGGGTGGTGGGGGGGGGGGGGTGTTGTTGGGTGGGTAGTTTGTGAGGGGGTTGGGTTGTGGTTGTGGTGTGGGTGGTTTTGGGTGTGGTTGTTAGTGAGTTTGTTGATTGTTTATTAATTGGTTGTAAAGGGAGTGTATGTAGGGTTTGGGTTTTTTTGATAAGAAATATTTTTTTTTTTTTGTGATTAGGGGGGTTAGGTTTGTTGTTTTGTATATTGTTGTATTTGGTGTTGGTGTGGTTTGAGGAGGGTTATGTATTAAAGTGATTGGATGAGTATGGAGGTGGGTGTGTTTATTATAAGTGGATTTGTGTGGGGTATTTATTTGGAGTTTTAAGATAAAAGGGATTGGGTTTAGATGAGTGGTTGAAAATAATTTGGTTAATTTAAGTATAAGGAAAGTTAAATGGGATTTTGGATAGTGATGATAATAGAGGGTGATATGTTGTTATTTTGTTGTGGTGATATGGGGAGAGGGGAGGAAGGAAAAGGTTGTTTGTAGGTGTTGGGTGTTGTTGTTTGGTGGGGGGGTGTAAGGGGGATTATAGGATATGGGATGGTGGGGGGATAAAATGTATATGGTGTTTAGTAGAAGGTGATATGAGAAAGATATGGATTTATTATTAATGTGTGAATGATAAAAGAGTAATAATAATGATAGATATATATATAATTAGATGAATGGATTGGGTTAGAGGGAAGTTTATATTATATGGGATAGGTAATGAAAATTATAATGATAAGGGAAATTTGAGAAAATGATATGGATAGTTAATAATGAAAGGATATAGGATTTGTAGTTTTGTAGTAAGATAGTATAGGGGTGAGAGGGAGGGTTTATAAGATTGGTGGGGGATGAAAATTATGTATTTATTTTTTTTGTGTTTGGGAGGTTGAGTGTATGGGGGAGTATATTGTGAGGAAAGAGGGGGTAGGGTAGGGATTGAAGAGAGATATTATTTTTAGAAAATGGTTAATTTTATTTTGTTTAGTATGAATATGGGGGATAAGTATTTATGAAATGATAGGTTGGTTTTTTATGGTTATGTTTTGGTTGATTTTATTGGGGTTGAATTTGATTAAGGGTGGAATTTTGGAGTGTTATTGTATTTTTTTTGATGGGGGAAAGAGAATGAGTTTGGTTGGGATTTAATGGAAAAAGGGATATTTTTTAATTGGAGGATTTTATTTTGGGGTATTTGTTAGGGTGGAGTTGGATTATGGTTAGATTTATGTTGTGGGGTAGGAGAATATTTGAAATTTGGGGTTGAGATTATGTAGTAAATGTGGATATGTGGTAATGATTAATATTGTGTTAATTTTGTGTTGTTATAAGGTGAAGGGTTGTTGGATTTTGTTTTAAGGGGAAGGGGAGTATTGGTTTAGAAGGTTTGTTGAAATGGTTTTTTTTGGGGGGGAAAGGGATGTAATAAAAGGAATATAAGAAGGTGGGTGATATGATTATGGGTAGAGGGGTGTTTTGAATAAGGGGGAGGATTATTAAATTTGTTAGGGAGAGGATGTGATGATTGTTGGATAATTGTTTAGGGTAATTAGAGAGATTGGTATTATATAGTTATTATAATAAAGAAATGATTATTAGAATGTATATTGTAAATAAAAAGGAAATTAATAATTAAAATTAGTTGATTGTGGGGATTGAATAGTAAGGGTTTTGTAGATTTTAGGTTTTGGAGAGTGATGGTTTAGGTGTGGGGTATGATGAGATGATATATTTTTATGGGTATGTGTTTATGGGGGGGGGGGTGTTGGGTGTGGTTAGATTAGTGGGAATTTTGGTTTATGTGATTATGATATTAGGTGAAAGGGTGGGGGTGGAAGGAATTGATTTTTTTTTTAGGAAGGGGTGTGTTGGGTGATTGGAGGATTTATTGAGGAATGATAAGGTGGTGGGTAGTGAATTTGGAAATTGGAAATATATTTTTTTGATTTTTTGAATGAGTGTTTGATGATAAGATTGAATGGTTAATATGTTTAGTTTGGAATTTTTTTGGGTTAAAACTGATTTGTATATTTGGTTATAGGGTATTTAATAGGGGTAGGGGTATTGAGAATAGTGTGGGGTGGATTAGTTGAAGAGTTAAATTGATGAAGGTTATTATGTGAAGTTTTATGGGGGGGGAGGAGGGTTATTAAATTAATTATAGAGAGGATGGGTGTTAATTTGTGGGTTTGGTGATGGGGTTTATTTTTTGTTTTTATGATTGAAGAATAGATAGATTTGTATGGATGATATGTGGTATGGGGTGTTTTAGTGGATAGTTTTTAAGTTTTTTATGTGGTTTTGGTGTGTGTATATTTTTTATTGGTTGTTATATTTTAGAAATTTTAAATTTATTGGGTGGTTTATTTAAGTTGTTAATTGTAAGATGGGTGGAGTGTGTTGGGTTTTGGTTGGTTGGGATTTTGTTTGTATAGGGGTTGTGGGTGTGGATGTAGTGGTGGTGGGGGGTGGGTGTGTGGGGGGTTGGGGGGTGGATTTGGTGTGTTGAGGTGATAGTGTTTTGTGTTTTTTAATGTTGAATTTGAAATGGTTGAATTATAAAAGATGAAAGTGTGGGGGTTGTGGGGAGTGGGGGTTTTATGTTTGTTGTTTGTGGGTTATACAGTATAACCTCTTGGATGACAGGGGCAGAGCAACTAAGTTCCAAGTTGATTGGGGTGGGTCAGTGATTAAAAAATCGGCATATTGGCCTGGGTGGTGAAATTTATAAATAATATTCATAACATGTCTAGTACAGAGAAGCTATTAGGCTCAATATATACTTAATTGGGTATTGGATCGAATAAACATGTATATATAACAATCTGTAATTGACTTCGGACATAGAGATGACTGAGGAGATTAATTATAAGTGATAGAAATGTAATGAAAGAAAAGCAGATAAATAAAATGTGATTAGTATCGTAGAAAAAGAGAAGATAACATATTGGATGTAAGCTAGAAGTATAATATTGGTATTATATCAGTATATTATTATAGTATCTATGATTATATATAGAATTTATATTTAGTAATATTATAGATTATATTTGAGATATATGATTATAGTTATTTATATAAATATGTATTAAGGGGGGTATGGGGGAGGTAGAATATATAAGGTGTTTAAGTGATTTAATTTTTTTATTGATTTAGAATATAGGTTTTGTAATTTAAGGTTGGAGGGTTGGTTGTGTGTTGGATGGGGGGAGTTGGATTGTAGAAGAATAGAATAAGTGTTTTGTTTTGTGGTGTAGAAGGTTTAAGAGGAAGTGTGAATTGATTGTATAATGAAGTGAGGGGTTAGTGTGTTAGGATTGGGGTATTGGTGATGGAGAGATTAATAATATATTAGTAGAGAATGGTATTGAATGAATTTATGGTTAATAGAGATATTATTATTAGTTGTTTTTTTTGTGGAATAGTGGTGGAAAGAAGGGTAGAGTAAAAAAAGAAATTGAGGGTGGTTTATTTGAAAATTTTGGATTGGGATTTAAGGTGTTTTTAGGATTTTTATTGTGAGGAATGGGGTGTGTTTGGGATATATGTTATTGTTGTGGGAGTAAGGTTGTGATGTTGGTGGTATTGGTATTTTTGAATTTAGTAGAGATGGTTATGTAATTTGAGAATTGGGGGAATAAGAAGGTGGTGGGATGGGAGAAGGGGAGGAGTGGGAAGAATGAGGATGGGAAATAATATTTATTATGGTATTATGAAGTTGAGTGGGGATGAGAGGGGTATTGGGGAGAGAGGGAGTAAGGGGGGGGGAAGGGGAAAGTATGGGATAGGGGATAGGTAAAGGGGGGGAGTAAGATAGATTGGGGATGAAATGAGGTTTGAAAAGAGGTTATAATGTAGATAGGTTTGTAGTAAGGGTTTTTGAGGGGAGTTTGATTTAAAGAAGGTTTGTTGGTGGTTGGGTTTTTAAAAGAGTTTTTTTATTGTGTGGTGGGAATATGATGGTTGAGAGAGTGGTTGGGTAGTGTGGGAGGGGAGGGGGATTATTTATAATTTGGGATGTAGAGGGGTTGTTGGTTTTAAAATGATATAGTTAGGGGATAAGAATTGAATATGTGGGTAGGGAAGAATTAGGATGGTAGGGAGGGGTTTTTTTTTTGATTAGATATTGTTTAATGTGGTAGAGATAAATTGGGGGTAGTTGGATGGGAAGAGGTGTGAAAGTATAAAGATATTTTTGAGGGGGTAATAAGTTTTATATTTAATAGTATTTTTTATAAATAAGGTTTTTTTTGATTAGGGTGGTTTTTTTGGATTGGAGGGTGAGGTTGAGTGAGGTTTTAGGTGTTTGTTGTTTGGTGTTTAATATATTGAATTGGGTGAGGGGGATTTTGGGGGTAAGTTGGAGGGATTGAATATAATGAGTGGTTTGATGGAGAAAAGAGAAGGTGGGGAAGAATGTGGATGGGAAAAGTAAGAGTTTTTATGTATTGTGTGTTGGTTTGTTAGGTGAGGGGGGTAGGGGAGAGGGGTTTATTGGTATGGGATGGAAGGATTATATGAAATTATGGGGAAGAGATTTTTTAATTTTGTGAAATATGAGATGTAATAAAAAATAATGTAAATGGTTATATTATTGTATGAATTAAAGTTTTAGAATTTTAGAGGAAATTTAGAAGGAATATGGGGATTGATGTTGGGGGGGGTAAGTGGGTAGAGGTGTTGTTAGAGATATGTGATGAATTAGGGGGGGGATTGGGGAAGGAATATAGGAAATGGGTGTAGAATTTGTTTGATGGTGGTAGGAGAGGGATTATATGTTGATTTGATGTGTTTTTAAAGGAGGAGGGGGGGTGAGGTTATTTTTGTTTATGTATGGGGTGGAAAGTAGAAGAGGAGGTTGGGAGATATTTAGGTGGTTGGTATTATGTGTTATTTTTTTGATGTTAGGTTTGGGTAGGGGGATAGTGAGTGTGATGGTGGTATGGTATAGTGTTGTGTGAGTTTAGGTAATGGTGGGGGTTAAATAGTGGTGAGTTAATGTGGATGATGAATAGGGTGGATTAGGTTGAAAATGGAGATTAATAAAAAAAGGAGATGAGATGATATTATTTTTAGTTGTGAGTTTAGAATGGTGATAAATATATATAAGAAGAAAGAAAAAGGGTAGAAAATAATTATTGAAAAGGGGTGAAATTGAATTTGTGAGATAGTGTTATAGTTTGAAGAAAATAAAGATGATTATTATTTTAATTTAGAGGGGGGTATTGTGGATATTGATTGGGGTTATTTTTTATGGTTAGATATGGGTGGTATGGAATGATTATTTGTTTGAATGAGATTGAGGTGATAGGGGGGGAGATTAGTAGGTATGTGGTTGTGGGTTTGTAAAGTTTTAGGTGAGAAATATTTTTTGTGTGGGGAATAGGAGGATTGGGGTTGGTTAATATATTTATGTGTGGGGGTTAGGTGTTTTGGGGTTTTTTAATTTGGTTAGATAGATGTTAGTAAAAATAGTTTTTATTGAATTAGGGGTGTGGGTGGAGGTGATTTAAAGGTGAATTTGGTATGGGAGGAGATTTGGGGGGGTAGTTGTGAGGAGTGGGTATTGTGGGAGTTAGGTATTGAATGATTGGGGGAGTGTATTGAGTAAGGAAATTGGGAAAGGGGTGGAAGGAGTGAAGTAAGGGTGAGAAGATTTAGATTATATTTTTTAAATGTTAAATTTAAGAAATTATTTTGGTAGGTGAATTATGGTAAGTGGGGGAAGGGAGGTGGTGTATTTTTATTAGAATTGGGATATTTATTTAAAATTTATGGATGTATGTGGTGTTTATAGAATTAGGTTATAAAGGGTGAGTTTTAAAGTTAGGGAATTATATTTTAATTTTGGTGGTATGTTTTTTATGTGATAAATATGATGTTTGTGGGGTTGGGTTTTGAGTTAGTTGGGTAGGAAGATGGAAAATATTGTTTATGGTGGTGGTTATTGGTGTGTTTTGTTGGTTTTGGGTATGTTTTATGGTTGGTTTTTTTTATTGTGTGTGATGTGTTTGGTGTGGGGATTTTGGTTTTTTTGGGTGTATTTGTGGGGGGAGTTGATGTTGTTTGTGTAATTGTTAATGTGTGGGTGGTTTTTTTTTGGGGGGTTTTGTTTGATTTATAAGTGTTTTAATGTATAGTATGTGTAATAATTTGGGGGGTGGATATATAGTTGGGATTGTGGGAAGGAGTGTAGTTTAATAGTTATTGTTTATGGTGGGTTATTTTGTTTGAATATTGGATGTTGAGTGGTAGGGAGGAGAGTAGGTTGGAAGTTTTTTTGTTAGTATTTGAGGGTAGGGGTATGGGGGTGTTTGTGTTTTTTGTATTGATATTTGTTTGATGTGGAATATGTAGTGTTTAGTGTGGAGTTTGTTTTATTTGGGGTGGATGTGTGGAATGTTTAGGATTTAAAGTTATTATAGTGTGTATTTTATGTTTTTTTTTTTGTGTTATTGAGTTTGTTTTTGGTGTTGGTTATATGTTATATGGGAGGGGGGTGGATTTTTATTATTTAAGAAAATTATGATTATTGAGTTATATGTTGGTGTTGTTGTTTATAGAGTTAAGAAAGAAGTATATTAAGTAAAGAAGAAGAAAAGAAGATATTTAGAGTAAGAGTGAAAAAGTATGATAAGAAGAAGAAGAAGATAAAAGTAAGAAAGATAGAGTAGATTAGAGTAAGAAGAAAAGAGATATAGAGGTATAAAAAGAATAAGATATAGAGTAAGAATAAGAAGAAGATATAGAAGTAAAAGAAAAAGAAGATATAAGTAAAAAAGAAAATATTATAGAGTAAAGAAGAATAAGAAGATATAGAGTAAAAGAAGAAGAAGATATAAGTAAGAGGAAGAAGAAGATATAGAGGGTAAGATAGAAGAAGAAGATATAAGTTAAGAAGAAGAAGATATAGATAAGAAGAATAAGAAGATAATGATAGAAGAAGAAGAATATATAGAGTAAAAAAAAGAAGAAGATATTTTATAATGTAAGAAGAAGGAAGAGTAATATATAGATAAAAAAAAGAATAAGAATAGAGTTAAAGAAGAAAAGAGTAATATAGAAGTAAGAATAAGAAGAAGATAATGAGAGTAGAAGGAAGAAGAAATATAAGTAATGAAGAAGAAATAATATATAGTAAGAGAAGAAAATATATAGAGTAATAATAAGAAATAAATATAGAGGTAAGATAGAAGAAGAGTATATAGACGTAAGAAAAGATTATAGAGTAAGAAGAAAAGAGTTATAATATAGAGTAAGAAGAAGAAGAGTATTATAGAGAAAGAAAAGAAGAAAGATAGAGAAAGAATAAGAAAGAGTTATATATTAAGTAAGAAAATGAAGAGTATATATAGATAATAAGAAGAAGAGTATATATATAGTTAAGAAGAAGAAAGTATATATAGTGGTAAAGAAGAGAAGGTATATATAGATATATATTTGGGGGGTGAATGTTTGAATAGGATAGATGGTGATATGTTGTGAATTAAGGGGGTTGAGAGGGGTTGT